GATAACCGCCGTCATTTGCGACAACCGTTGCAGATGCGTTGCCACGTTTTAGTAGTTTTGGATCAAATTCAAGCTATCGGGTATCTTAGTACATTCTATGAGAGAACAGTAAATTATAAGTTTATGAAGTAGTTAAAAATGGTCAAATATAGAATCACGTACGGAGGATCGATACAGTCTTACTTATTATACCTCACTTATACCAGTGCTTATTGGTGCTAGTAATAAATCTTGTAGCCACAGCCTGATCGCGTAATGTGGGTTGACTCGATTTATTATACGTCAGTCATCTCAATCAAATTGACACTTGTTTTCGCCATGATTTCATTACCGTTTAATTAAAAGCAAGCAACTTACGAATAACAGTTAATAATTCATTAATATGTAAATTTTCCTGACTACTAGAGAAAGGGCTGGCTCTTGAATTTCGTAAGGGACAAGGTGTTTTTTGGCCAAAGTAAATTTGTTCGTTAGTTAAATGTATTGTTTGCTTTATGCACTTACTTAAAGCCGAAATCTAAAAAAGTGAGTCACGTTCAAGAAATGAAACAAAACCTAAATAATTGTTCGATAGCGACTAAATATACAGCGTGTCGTTACAACCGCGACAATAAATGAACACACGTCTAACGCTACTTGCCAATAATCATGAAAAAATATAAAACGTTAAAAAATTCATAAATAAAAAACAAACAAAATGTGTAACTTCCTATACAACTACAACCGACTGATTCATACATTCAGAGACTTTTTCATTCGTTGTTACAACGTCGCATTATAAGTCTCTCCTTCTAATAGTATGTTTTATCTCTTTTAAATTCATTCAACCCATTCATATCCTTTGTGACCTTTACAAATGAACTTTACGTTACAGTTTTATACGTAAGGGTATTCTATAAATGTTTGTTTTGTAAAATTTTATAACTCTGTAAATATTGATGTTTAAAGAATGTAAATGCTTAATACAATTTTAAAAAGTCATTCTCTATATGTGTGGTCATTTATTGTCGCGGATGTAACGACACGCTGTATAATAACGTACAAAAGTTCAAGCACTTGAATAGGTAAACTAAATAAACCCGATTTTTTGACGAGTACTAAGAAGTAAGATTTTTAGCAAAAGGTCCTTTAAGAAACGAGCCGATTTTATCAATGGCCTAAATTTCCGAGTTGATCAATCATTCAAAGAAGTGTGCTTCAGCCGCGGTCGACGCATAGGACATTAATCAGTCTCAATGTCCTACACTGTATTAGCAAAAAAAAAACCCGCAAGACTTTACGAGTGACAAGTGACGTTTTAGATAACATATTTGCTTTAGGAGTTGGCATTAATGGGTTTATGAAGTGAATGAATGAATGAACTGATGAATAAATGAATAAATGTCTCTATTGCCAGATTACATGTTGATCTTGATTATCATAATTTGGTTCAACAAAAACTGCTGAAATCAATAATTCAGCAGAATCGCACTGCAATTATAACCGTGAAGGGCTCCTCAACAAAAAAAAACTCTTTTGGTCTTATTGTCTCTGCAAAAAGGAGGCCTTTTCTCGACAGTGGGGCATATACAGGCAATATTAATATGGCCACAGTGAAACAAATCGGCAGCGTAAGCCGTCTCTAACAACCTTAAAGGAACAGGGACTTGAGAGCTAGTTTTGAGAATTTTTCCAACTTAACATTCGGTTTAAGGCGAGCCGGAAATGAAATAGATTATAATAATGCTATTTTTGTACCGAAAAGACCCAAATTCAAATTTAAATATTCAATATACAAACGGTGGCAGGGCCACGAAGCAGTACCTGTGGTAGGCCCACGCAGCAACCTCAGCTGTTGCACGAATGGGCAGGCTCGTCCGGGTAAGTACCACGACTTCACAGAAGACCGGCGTGAAATGGAAGTATAATACTTTCGCGTTTCGTCGGGTGAGTGAGGTGGCCGGAGCCCAATTTTCAAAAGGTTGTCAATGCATCTGTAACCCTCGGGTGTACCAGATGTTCATGGGCGACGGTATTAACTTAACATCAGGTGAACCACCTGCTACCTTAACAACTTTTCACACAAAAAATTAGCATTATACTTATTCATTGATTGTGGAAAAACCGGCCAAGTGCGAGTCTGACTCGCGCACGAATGGTTCCTTACCATTATATATAAAAGCGGCAAAAAATGTCTGTTGCTTGGGAGGCCCTCTTAAATTTTTTTTATTCAGATTTTAAGTATTTTTTGTTATATCGGCAACAGAAATACATTATCTGTGAAAATTTCAAATGATGGACAGACATACAGACAGACAGCGGAGTCTTAGTTATACGGCCCCGTTTTATCATTTGGATAGGGAACCCTAAAAATGGCCTGTATCAATTAGTAGGGTTACAGTAATAAATATCGTAAACATAGGATATTCAAAGGGTTCATTACTTAATTTGGGCAACCCTCAAGTCTGAGCTTTGAGGCAGACATTTAATAGTATCTCGTATCGTGACTGCGTACTTAAATTAATTATGGCGAGGCGGATCCGGCGGGTTAAACGCGGTTTTCGATTTTAAAGCCACTCTCATAATGATGTCAATCCTTTGGGCATTTCGGATTGATTCATTCGTTTTATTCGCAGTTGGACAGAGAATTTTTGGCTATATAGTCTTTTGAGGTTTTGAGGTTGGTAGTATCTACTAGGTTGATAGTAACATCTTTGCGTTTGGTATACCCGTATAATGTATTGTCACTTTCTTAACATAGCTTGTTAACTTTATCTTTAAAGAAACCCACAGAAAGTCAAAGAACACTTTCATAAGTTAATATTTATTATATAACTTAATAAGGTAGTAAGATTTCTTATTGAGCCTTTTTTAACATTTAATTCTGTCTGTCGTATTTTCAAGTCATCAAGAAACGTGAATTGTTGACTTTCGCAGAAATAAATTACTTCTATTGCGCTGTTTTTCCTTGCTGGGTTTATGGGAAGTATAATCGGGAAAGCTTTTGAAAACGAAAACAAATTAACTTTAAAATAAGTATAACTTTACTCAACACGATTTCAAGCCAGCAGTGGTAAAATTGAACCATTCTCTATTTACATTTTATGTTGCTTATTCATGGTACACTTTTGCTAGGATTTGTGGTCTATCTTATGTACTGTGGGGGCGGGTCCGTCCGGGGAAGTACCATGACCACACAGAAGACTAGTGTAAAGTAGAAGTGTGAGACTTTTGTGTTTCGTTTTGAGTGAGGTAGCTGAGGCCCACGTCATTAAAAGGTGGCAACGAATCTGCGAACCTACGGGCGTTTTAAGCGGCGACGGTTATTAGTTTATTGCTTGTTATTACTTAGTTTGCCACCATGTAACAAAAAATGATTATTATATTATTATATATACTTTATTGCACACCACAAAAAGTTTTATACAGTTCATATAAAATAAATCTTAAAAGCTAGGTACAATAAGGCGGTCTTATCGCTAAAGAGCGATCTCTTCCAGACAACCTTAGGACAAGAAAAATAAACTTATGAATAGTGGGAGGTGGTGTGCTTAATAAACTTACTTAATAATAATAAAATAATTTGCTCTATTGGGACCGGCCCATCATCACGGACATCCAAGCTCAAATTTGTCTATGTCTAAATATGTCTAAATCTTCAATTATCAAGCGCGATACCGCCCGCATCGTCCGCCGGTTTCTCTCCCTCTCACCCTAACCCTCGGCCGTTTGGTCTCCCCTGCCGAGGGCTTCCGTCTGGTTGGGTCCTATTTATTTATGTATTATATATAATATTTATATCTAGATGTTTATTTTTATTCATAATATTTATTTTATATACAATACAATACAATACATTTTATATATGCAATATATATTTATATCTTTATTTTTTATCTATAAACCCAACCAGACGAGAAAACAAAATAATATCCCCATAATAAAATAAATTATAATAAACATACATAAACATAAATAAATATATAATATATACAAATAACATAAATAAATATATGAAAGTATAATAGATTAATATTGTCAATGTTACCTATGTTACCTATATGTGTGGTTAAAATGTATCTCTACCTGTCGACCTTAAGCTTTCCTTTGCAAATCATTTTCATCCTTTGCTCAGTTGTTGCAGAGTTGAAGTAAGGCAAACCAGCCAACACATTTGACATTTACAACGTAATTTGAAATATGCATCTATTAAACCGTCAGACCAAATATAAAACGATTTACAATTCTGTAAAATATAAAAAATATTTACACAATACTTTGTCACTATTCTTTCCATAAACTAGGAGTAAGTATTAACTGTGGTAGGGCCAGGCAACAGTGTTCATTGTTGCACGAATGGGCAGGTCCAACCGGTTAAGAACCACGACCGCACAGAAGACCGTAGTGAAATGGAAGTCTCCTTCTGCGTTTCATTGGGGAGGTAAAGGGACCCACTTTATTAAAGGTGGTGTGCAACCCTACGGGTGTTGCAAATGTCCATGGGCGGCGGTTATTACTTAATATAGGTAGGTGTATATATACTTATTATATAATAAGTAGGGTCACGCAGCAGCCTCGGCTGTTGCACGAACGGGCAGGCCCATCCGGGTAAGTACCACGACCTCACAGAAGACCAGCGTAAAGTGGAAGTATGACAAATACTTTCGCGTTTCGTCTGGTGAGTGAGGTAGCCGGAGCCCAATTTTCAAAAGGTTGTCAACGCTACTGTAACCCTCGGATGTAGCAGATGTCCATGAGCGGCGGTATTCACTTAACATCAGGTGAACCGTCTGCTCGTTTGGCAACTTTTGGCATAAAAAACAAATAAATAATATCAGGTCATTCGCCAACTCGGTTGCCACCTTCTTACATTACAAAAAAAAAACAAAACGCAGAATCATTCCAGTATATTGCTTCGTTACAGTGTGGCACACCACCTGAAAGAAAAAAGAAATTTAAATAAAAATAAGAAATAAATATTAATCGTGTTACAAAATTATACTAACACATTTCTGCACGAGATGCGTCGCAGCTGCGCTGGAGTTGGAGGTCCCGTTGCTTCGCGCGGCGCAGCAGTGCGCTCGCGGCTTCCGTACATTAAACTGCGTCACTTGTGCCGATACGTAAGCCTTGCGAATCCAGTGCTAATACTTGGACAATTAAATCTCTGTTGTGTATTTATGAGTTCTAGCGTCGTATATGTAATGTTATGTGTTTTAAAGTGTGTAAATTAACGATATGCCTGTGCTGAACAATAATAGTTTGATTTACAAATGCGACAACTATTATAGGTTTATCTCAAATAGAACTCGAAACGATAACTTTTAGTTAAGTAATCTTCTGATTACTATAAATGAAGTCTGTTTTAAAGTGTTGTCTTTGCCTGTAACAAAATATATTTTCCTATATTTTCACAATTTTATGATTAAGTTAAACCTATTTGTATGTCCAAGTTCTGTTTGTATTTAGTTGGTAAGCCTCAAATAAAAATAAATAAATCAACTCATATGTTATTACCAGAAATGTACTATCTGAACCAACATTGACATTTATTCGCGCTGAACATATTTCCTATATGTATCGAAAATTTTTCATGTTGTTTTTGTTTCAACAAATCCCAATGTGAAAATGAAAAGTACACAAAGTTTCGAAATACACAAAGTTTCGAAAATGTTTTTATAGGGCGGAGTTTCTTATATTGATTGAGATATTATATTGTTTATTGGTTACTGGAAATAATAACTTTATAGTTGAATTTAAGAGAAAAATCGTTTTAAGAGAATTTATTCGTGTTTTTTTTTCTTTACTTAAGTACTAAGTCTAACCTACATGCTCTCGCTAAAGTTATTAAACTTCTTAATTTTCTTTTAATAAGCTCCGGGCGGGAAAATAATAATTCTTGTGCCCTAGGTGGCTCCAGGCTTATACACATGGACTCGATACGGGATGAATGTATGTAGGCACTCTTGAGCGATTAACGTTTCTTTACTTTACTTAAAAAGTAAAGTAAAGAAACCGCCTATAATATATCTTCCACGACCCAGCAGAGGATACTCTGTACAGTGTTCCTGTGGTACTGTACGCCACGCAACATTTGCTGTTGCATGAATGGGCGGCGGTTATAACTTGTCATCAGGTGCACCGACATCGATAGCCACCTTCTCACATAAGTTTTAAAAAAAATCCACCGTGCAACTACACTGCGGACTTTCAGACTTCATATAAAAAATAAAAATAAAAATAAAATAAATAACTAATAAAACGTTAGAAATGATTCTTTTTATTGTTTCTCATAATATACAGGTTCCCTCGCGATGTTTTCCTTCGCCGTAGAGGGCTTAATCAGTCAGCAATTGAAATTGGACTTCACAATTTCAATTATGCAGGCACCGGGATTCGAACTCGAGGTTCCTCGGGCTAGCACGCCTGCGTTTACTCTTATCTCTTATTAAAATTCTGAATATTTACCCACATCCTAAAATATTAAATAAAATTTACCCATATTCTAAAATTATTTACCCACACACAAATTATTCAATGATTGTTGATTTTTACTATCGTCACTTTGAAACTATATAGTTTATAGAGAGTTACGTCGTAAATAAGACAAGAAATGTACTTTGTATCCAAAATCAAAATATGTAGCATCCGTGCGAAGTGAGGCAGTACGGGACGATCTGTAGAAGCGGGCGGACGGTCGCGCTACGCCGTAGCGGAATTGCTACCTCGCTACGAACTTGTATAAACTTAAACATGGAATTTTGAAATAGAAATAGTAAATATATATAACATAATTATATTTGCCTAACAAATAAACTAGTAATACTTGCAACTAATTTAGGCCTACCATTAATTTAAGAATACAAACAAAAACTTAAAACTTTTGATTCTTATTTTTTTAAAAGTTCCAGTTTGAAATAAGCAACCACATTAAGTGACATTCGATAAAGTATAGTAAGGTATAGGAACTATGTTATACAAGTTGATAAAGTTAGAGACTACCATTAAAAAGTAATTAATAACGAGCCTACGAATATTTTCGAAACTTGCAAAAAGAAAAGCATAAGCATCAAGTGAAGAGGAAGCGAGAGCGACAAACAAAAATGGCGGAGATTTTCTTGCGTCAGAACGAGACGGAGGAGCAGTTCTATCAGCGTTGCACCAACTTGAGCCAGTTCGACTGCTCCGAGGAGGAGATGCTGTGGTGCATGATCGGGCCGCGGCGGCTGCCACTGGTGAGGATCGTGCCGCTGTCTGTCGTGTTGCTGGTGATATTCATCACGGGCATGGTGGGGAACGTGGCGGTGTGCATGGTGATAGTGCGCCACCCTGCCATGCACACGGACACCAACTATTACCTGTTCAGCTTGGCGCTGAGCGACTTATTGCTGCTGTTATTCGGTAAGCAAAAGGCGATGTTGTAATCATTACATTCAGTTTAACTTATAAATGTTAACAATCTCCAAACGCTCAATGCACGTGCGCAGTTTTTTGGATAGTTTTATATCGTTTGACAGTTAAAATGTGTCTCTTTATTTATATATGTGAAAGGTTCCTCCAAAAGTAGTAATTTAAAGCAGTAACCTATCGTATAAACAAGTATAATATTTCGATAACTGTGTAGTATTTACGTAAACTCATGAAGTGATTCTTTCCTTTACATTATCATAAAATTATTTGAGACGTTATTTCTCATATGGTTGAATTGATTTTTTATAGAAATAAAGTATCCTATAAAGCCCGCCTATTGACACTAACGACATTTAAATGACAGACAATGTCATGGTTTATTGGGTGATATAAGCCGCGAGGAAACCAGCGCGTTTGTAAGTAATATTAAATTTGAAGGTATTTTAGCTTATTTGGGGTATTCTGTGCATAGAAGGCAGTTAACGTCGTAATTGTGACTGTCGATGGTGAAAAACTATTTTTATGCGGTTCATTCGCTTTATGCAGATGGTTTGGAAGCACTTAAGTAAATTTATTCATTCCCTACTAAATGTGAAAAATAATCTATTCATTAAAAATGTTTACATAATATAAAAACAAAATGTAACGCGCCATCTACAGACAATGCGTTTAGAATCAGATATATTTATGTTTGTGTTTAAGAATATGTCTTGTCAATCCAACCTTTTAGTATAATGGAAATTAAGGAAGATATAAAAAAATAACGTAGGTATATATTTTGACCATTGACCAAAAGTACTTAAAACTATCGCCATTCGGTAGGTATTCTTTAAAATAAGAACAAATATCGAATAGAAAATGAACTTTGTTGTTAACATAATACGCATATCTTTTCTAGAATCAAAGCATTATACACATTATACACAATATATGGTGACTTCAGTCTTCGTAAGTTTTTGTTTGTTTCCCTTAGTTTATGGCAAGTAGTTGTATAATGGGAATGAAATTAGAAATTGATGTTTCAAATTAAACCAACAATGTTATGCTACTATGAGTTTATTCTGAAAGCTTAACACAAACTGACCGGAGATATTAGAAATATTAAGTACTGTATAGTCCATTTATTCTCCCAAAACTCGAACTTATTTCAAAGACTTTACGGAGTTTAATTTCAAGGTATTGAATCTTCGCATTAAAATAATAAATAATCCCCTACAATTAAAGTAACAATTACAAGACAGAGATTTGAATACCGGCTCAAGTACTGTTTTATTAATAGCACAGCTGGTACTCTAAAATTGTAAGGTTTAAAAAGCTGTTTCAACAACAAACTCATTTTATTATGAATCCATTTACATCTTATTTGATTGCAATTAACTTGATCATTTTATAATAGCAAGACCTGAAAACATACTAAAAGGAGTTTTATGGATAATTTCATTTGCATGGGGTCAGAGGTGCTGGCCTAGTCACACCTGTATTATTATCACCATTTAGCTGGATTGGGTGCTATACCCGAGAACAGGAGGACCAAGGTCACAGTCGCGGCGGGGTCACGGAAGAAAGCGTCTTCGTTGTCCCGTCTCCCCGGCCGATGCGACAGAGACATATTCAACGTGGGTTTTAGTGGGTATACGTTGCTCACCGGGACCACATAATCCCGCCACTCTACCGATCCACTGGCAGGGCATCCATAAACGATTCTTTTCCCACGTAAAAAAGGATTTTCGCAAAATGGATATTTTCCGCAGAGATTCATTCGCATTTTCGTCCGGAATTAACGCTGTTCGTTTACAAAAAGGCACTAATCCCGTTCAGTTTATACGCTTCGGCCTTTTCCGACGGCATATATAAACGCTTGGGGCTACGTAGGGAAAATAATTTTGTTTACAATCTCTCACGTTTAATACCCTAATGGGCTAGAAGATGATAGGTTCTATTTACTTTTTACCGAGTTTATTCAGTCCCAAACATAACAAGAGGAAAAATTGTCGCTGTACTCTAAATTAAATGATATATAGTGACGTAAAAATATCTAAAACTGAGTTATTCGATACACATTATGTTTTTATACATCTCCGTCTCAGATCTAACCAAAAATCGAACAAGTTATTATACACAAACTTTGCTTCTACTTCCGTCTCGATCGTTTATAATACTTCAACTAAAGTTTTAAGTATTTTACCTCTTTAATGACGCAGTGATAGGCGCACTGCGTATCTGGTATGTTATAGTATGATATATGCGTCGTATAGACCTGTCATTAAATGTCTGTTAGAAAAATAAAAAGTTAATTTATGTCATCCTCGCTAAAACTTGATAAATTGAACAGGATGATTTTTATGTGAAAAGTTGTCAAGCGAGCACTTGATTACCCCTGATGTTAAGTGATTACCACCGTTTGGACAAAGAGCTACTCTAGAACACCAGAGAGCTGCAGATGGGCCTCGGCTATCTATCTCACTCACCGCACGGAAAGCGAAATGTAAAAGATAAAAAAAAACAAAAGTAGGTTTTAGTGCTTACATACCGAGCGAACCCATTCTTGAAACCCTTCAGTGGCTTAAGTACAGAGAGCAACCCCTGTCGAATATCATGATATTTTCTGCTGTGAAGTACATACCAAACTATTACCGGTAATATTATAGCTCTCGACACATCCCATATAGGCTCTTCATAATAGAAGCGCGTGCAAATTAAATTAACGTTAACGAGCGGCCTTTATAATGCTAAATTGAAATTCTAGACACTTCCCTCTATTGCTCAGGGACCCGTTTATCCGATTTGTTCTGCCACACAAACGCACATACTCAAACATTCACATAACGATTGATCGATTACAAGTAAAAAGGTCGAAATTTATTAGTATTATTTGATCCGAGTATATTTTGTAACCTAATGGATATTAGAAAACGTTATGCATCGGAAGTATGAAAAAAATATAGAAATCAGAGGAGAAAGGGGGATTAATCGTTTAATTCAATATTTAACGTAAGCCTCGAAAAGTGACCTCTTCTAGACTCAATTTCACTTCGACCACAGGGTATGAAGGATAAAGGCAGGCGGATGACAATGTTGACGATGTTTTGAAATTTCTTCTGAGCCGTGATAGCTCAGTGTCCGGGCGCTCGCCTTTAATTCGATAGACTCGAGCAACCTGAGTTCGATCCCCGGTGCCGGAACCAATGAAATTGAAATTTCAAGTGCTGAATTATCACGTGCTCAGCGGTGAAGGAAAACATCGTGAGGAAACCTGCATATTTTCGAAATAATAATAAAAAAAAAATTCGAGGATATGTGAAGTCCGCCAATCCGCAGTGGGGCCGCGTGGTGGACTATGTCCTGATACTCTCTGTACAAATTTCTTTACTGTACTAAAATCAATTGCAGTTCTCTAATATGAGTTACTTGCGTGCAGAAAATTGATTTTCTGTACTAATTTATAGGGTTTATGACTGTGGTTAAAAATTATCAAGAGTTTAATTTTTATAAAATACAATTCTTGCGGTACTAAAATGAGGATAGGAAGTGCTTTAGCTCTCATACATGCAGATTAACAGGTTTTATTAATTTGCAATGTAATAGGTATACTGTTTGAACATGTACATGGAACATCTAGTGTCAACATATGAGAGCATATGTTGACACTAGATGTTCTATGCGAATTCATCGGTGATATAGCGTGAAGAAAAATACCCTAAACTATTCTGAAGAATTGGGCTATCAAGTGCAAAAAGATTTTTTCAAATTCGACTGGTAGTTCCACAGTTTTGAGCATTCAAACAAACAAACAAACTCTTCAGCTTTATATATTATATAAGTATAAGTGAATTCGTAATAAGTATAACTAAATATTGTAAATACCCTTATTGCACATGTTAGCTAACGTTGCTAAGTCAGGAATTTTCCCAAAGGGAATGTACAAAGTTCAAAGTTTAGTGGCTTTAGAAGTTATAAGCCATTAGGAAATAATCGAGGATCGTATGAACTACATTTATCTAGAAGTTATCATGATGATAATTTATGGTTCATGCTTAAGTAAACTCTCATAAAATAGTGTAAAACAACACACAGCTGAATTATGGGATCTCAGAAGATTAAAATTTATCACACGTGAACCTGACGTTACGTATTTTATGTACCTCTTAGAAAGAAAGAAAAGAAAGAAACATAACAATTAAAATTCAGAAATAAATGTGCCAAAAAGGTCACCACTCAGCATTACATCGCAAAAAAAAATGTTGTGATTGCTGATTTTCAGTGGAACCTGGAGAGATCGATAGATGACGACTTTAACAACAATAATAACATATACTTATAATTTACCAATAACAGTTTATTAATAGATATAACAAAAATTGCATTTAACGGCTGTTTGTGTATGTGTGTGTGTGTGTGCGCGCGCGGGTGTGTGTGTGGGTGTGTGTGTGTGTTAAAGAAAAAATTTAGGGTTTCACGTGCCGGATTTTTGCATTGATGTCAGAAAGGCTTTTAATGTAGTTTTGAAGGAAAAAATAGACACTAAATTTCTTATAGGGGGAGGGATATTATTCCAGCACTTGGTAGCAGCGAACCGGAGACTACCTCGAAAAGCAGCTGTTCGAGACTGTGGATAAACTAGCCGAGGCGCCGTTCTAACGGAACGCTGAGTAAATTTAAGCTATTTGAATAAGTAGTCCGGTTCTTTGGTTTTCAAAACTCCAAAAAGCAGCGAGGCGAGATGAAGCGCTCTTCGGGTGGACATGTTCATCAGGTCGTTACGGTTTAAGAAAGGAGTAACGTGTGTGCGCCTTGGGATGGGAAAGGAAAACAAAAACGTGCGCCGGCATTTTGTATCCTTTGGATTATCTTTTGCGTCCTTGTATACAAACATTCACCGAAAATTGTGTCAGCTTAAGATAGTTTTGATAAGATGATGGTTTCTCACAATCTGATGCGCATATCCACCGTCAGATATTCACGAATCCGATACAATACCTTAAGTCTATAAA